TAGAGCGACTTTATGTTCTCTAGTCACTTTCGGGTAATAAAATGTCCCTTGGTCAGTCATTAACATGTCTAGATTCGGGTCACAGTAAAAACATCAATTTGTCTTTGCACTTAGACTTCTCCCCCCCTCAGCTCAGCCTCCTACAAAAGGCTACAGTCTCATTAGGAGAGCAGCCTGTGGCCTCACTTTTCCCCATCGCTGCCTCTTTCATCTTTCTAACGGGGGATTTCACACTTCTCTCAGGTTCGAGCAGTGGGAGGAAGATGGGGAGAGCAGAGCGGGAAAGCTCTTACTTGTCTGGTAGTCTTGTGAAGATTTAGTATCAGAGTTCTCTGGCCTTGACAGGTACTCAAAGTTGCCTCAAAAGTTGGTTTGTCAAGACACGGCAGGGCCGGGTGTCTCTAACCCTGTCAACAGATGGAGATGTCTTAATGTGGCTGATCACTTACTCTTCCCGCAAACTGTGGGAATCTGGCACCAACTCCAGCCTTTCTGTTCTTCTGGTCACCTGTCCAGATGACCCCCTTAGAAAGGACACAAGATAACCTCATGCCTACTTTTTCTCATGGGTGGTCCATGTCTTATCCAAGGGAATCACGCACACTTTCTTTGCTCCCGAAGCCTTGGACAGGCTGGGGGGGGGGGGGGGGGGGGGAACCCCCAGCACACAGACTGCTCTGTCCCAGCCAACCCTCTCCTTACATCTCTAGTTCTCCTTTTTAATGTACTTTCTGATTTATGTAAGAAGCTGAAAGGTCATGTAATCAGATTTTGACAACCTCCTTTGCAAATTTTGCAAATGAAAGTCTCCTACCTCCCTGGAAAATGTGATATCAATGCCTTAGTGCTCTAGCTGAAACTTTCATTCTTTCACACGTATACCTGCCTTGCAATGTTGGAATGGCCAATCTCTAGTCATATCATTGGCCTGCATTCACTGGGTCACTGTGACAAGTAGCCTTTTCCTCCCCCTAATTGCCTTATCTAAGAGAAAGTTAATATGAGGTTTGGTGTAACATTATTTGCATAATCTGGAAACTGGGCATCGTATAAAGTTCTTGGAGCTGCTATGACAAAATGCCACCAACAGGGTGGTGTAAGCGATAACGTTTTTATGTCACAGTCCCAGAGGAGGCTAAAGTCTTTTTTTTTTAATTTTTTTTTAATGTTTTTTATTTATTTCTAGGAGAGAAAGAGAGAGAGAGACAGCGTGAGCAGGGGAGGGTCAGAGAGAGAGGGAGTCACAGACTGAAACAGGCTCCAGGCTCTGAGCTGGCAGTCAGCACAGAGCCCGACGTGGGGCTCGAACCCACAAACCACGAGATCATGACCTAAGCGAAAGTCGGATGCTTAACTGACTAAGCCACCCAGGCGCCCCTAGGAGGCTAAAGTCTGAACTTAAAGTGTTAGCAAGGCCACACCCCTCCAAAGGCTCTGAGACAGAATGCGTTCTAAGCATCTCTCTTAGCTTTTGGTGGTTGCTGGCAATCTTTGGCCTGTGGCTACATTACTTTAATTTCTGCCTCTGTCTTCACATGAGGATTTCCCTATATGTCTGTGTCTTTACAGGGCCTTCTTTTTTCAAAGAGAGAGAGAGAGAGAGACAGAGGATTCCAAGTAGGCTCCACATTCAGCTGGGAGCCTGACATGAGACTCAATCCCACAACCCTGTGATTATGACCTGAGCTGAAATCAAGAGTGGGATGTTCAACCTAGTGGGCCACCCAGGTGGCCCCCTCTGTGTAGCCTTCTTATAAGGACATCGGTCATTGGATTTAGGGCCCACCCTAACCCATTATGACATCACTGTAACTTGATTACCTCTGCAAAAACCTAGTTTCCAAATAAGGTCATCATCACAGTTTCTGGATGAACATGATTGGGAAGAGGGGTACACTATCCAATCCAATACCAGTACTGTAATATCTTCTGTAAAAAGCTTCAATATCAGTGCATATATGACATGGCATGTTTTCCCCCCAGTTTTTTTTTTTTTAACTGAGGGATTACATTAATTTTGGAAAGGCCTATGGAAAGAGTACCTCTGGGTTTTACCGCATACCAATAGTCACATTCATAGAGAAATATGACAAAGGAGGCATTCAAACAGCTTAATAAGCATGGGTCTGTATCGTATGGGAGAATTGGTGCAGCTAATAATAGCTACCCTCGAGATGGGCGAGCGGATGCTTTTTCCACAGCTGAGTCGTGAGTGGTACGATGTAGTGTTTGTTGATTTTGTCATGTGACTTGTGAAAACAAAAGCGATACAAAGGAGACAAATGACATTGTAATTTTGAGTGGTTTGACTGTAACTATGGTGCTGAAGTTGTAACAGCACTTGTAGTGATAGACGGTGGAGTTGATTATCAATTTTGAAGCCCCTGCAACATTTTAGATATTTTTCCTGGGAGTATCTCTCCTCCAACCTGGTAGTGGATTTCCCTTTCTCCACAAGTTCAAGTGGTTGGTTGGAATCTCGTTCAAATAATGACATGATGGCAGGCACGCAACTAACAGCGAGTAAAGGAGAACCTTCTTCATAATATCCATCAAAATTGTTTTTTTTTTCTTTACACAAAGTTTAAATACAATTTCTTCATGGTTTGTCAACTAAAATCTATCCTGAGAAGACGTGGACCTTTAGAAAGGTGCAATGAGTAGTTAATGCTTATATATATATTCCATTTCCTATCCATTTATTGTTTCTAGTCTTGAGTAATTTCTTCCCAAGCTTCCAGAATACCTTCTGGAAAATCATGTATTTCTCCATCGTGGCTAATTTAATGAGATTGTGATGGAAATTCAGAAATCTGGCATGACTTCATAACATTGCAGGTATTTCTTAGAATGATTTTAGACATTTTTGTCACTACTTTTACCTCTATTTTATGTGCAACTGCTTCTCTGAACATGGCGAGTGGAGGTACCTGCTACCTTTGCCTGTGCAAATGGGGTCAGTGGACACTTACCCATTCTCTCTGTGCAAATGATTTATGCCAAGCTTAAAGCTTCCTTTGGGTAAGTGTTTTCCTTAGGTCTTCCTGTGTTGCTGCGTCTTTATTGCAATTTGTATTGTATTTTCTTTTGTAAGACATTTGGATTCTTGTGAAAGTGTTGTGTATGTAAATAATGGAAACAACACCCACACCATTACTTAGCTACTGTGGGTGCTGCCACACTTTTTTCTTCCTGTTTTCTTTCTTTCTTTTTTAAATCACCATAAGAATAGTTCTTTGGAATAAAGATGATGCAACAGTCTTAAAGAGATACTCGGCACTCTGATACTAATTAACAGAAAGTGACGTTTATTGAAAAGTTGTCCTTGATAGCTGATAGCTAACATGATTGGTTTGAACTGCATGGCATTCTGATTCTGTGCTGGCTCAAAACACGGCGGCAGGTATGATACACATTGTGTAATGTTCCGCCATAAATTGATCATGGCAGGAGGTATAAAACTCTCAGAGTGAAATGGTTATAGGGTAACCAGACAGATGATTGAGCATATCTATATGGGTTGGCCTGTTTCTATAAAATAAGTGAGGTGTCAAAGAACGCATTTGGAGGAGGCATTTGGGGGCAGGACAGGCTGTGACCACATCAGCACAGACCATGGGAAGGAGGAAGAAGCCAAGATCCAGTGGAGCCCAGGGGCCAGAGCCTGTCTTCAGAGGCTGGCCTGTCCCCAGGAGGCAGCTAGGCAGGCCAGTGAACAGCGGTCAAAGGGCATGACTCGCTCAGATCGGGCCAGGCTATTTGGATATCTGAGTGAGTCCTCTCTGCCAGCAGAACACAGTCCTGGAAGAAGTCCAGGTGACAATACTCAAAATCAGGCACCATTCCAGGCGATTGGTCCAGTCACAGCAGGCCCCCTGCCAGAAACTGAGAAAAGAGTAGGAAAGCACATCCTGCTTCTGAAGAGAAGGGGAAGGCAGCGAGGCATTGTCAGAGCTTCAGGACCTGAGCAGAGGAAGCAGGGGTCCAGGGCAAGCGTCCAGCCGCTGCACAGAGCTAGCAGAGAAACTGAGGCCGACTGAGGTCGCAAGGCTCTGGCCAAGTGATCAAAGAACTCTGAGATATCCGAGTCTACACCAGGAACCAGATTCCCAGGTCTCTAGGCAACCAAACCTGTTCCGTCTATTAATAGGTCTCAGGCTGATGACACTGATCAGGACTGGCTCTGACTGCTTGGGGGCGACTAAGAGCTTCTAGAACTTAACATGCATAAGAATTACCTGGGATCGTGTTTAAGTGCAAATTCTGATTGGATAGATGTGATGGGGCCAATAGTCTGAATTTCTGACAAGAGCCCAAGTGATGCTGCTGGTTTGCTGGAGCAGCAAAACTGAGACTCCTAACTTCCCTTTCCTCCCACCCGTGACACTGCCAGGGCAGCACTTCCCTCCTCCCCCGTGCTCTTCACCGTGAAGTCTGACCATCTTCTTTTCCTTTCTTTCCTTCCCCCCCACCCCCATTCTCCCAACCCCTTTGTCCTAGTAAATTTCTTTTTGATTTTTAAATTATTTATTGATTTATTTTAATGTTTTTATTTTTGAGAGAGAGAGAGAGAGAGTGAGAGAGCAGGGGAGGGGCAGAGAGAGAGGGAGACCCAGAATCCGAAGGAGGCTGCAGGCTCTGAGCTGTCAGCACAGAGCCTGATGTGGGGCTAGAATGTATGAACCATGACATCATAACCTGAGCCAAAATCCAACGCTTAACCAACTAGGCCACCCAGGGACCCTTGTCCTGGTGCATTTCTTCTGCCAAGACCACCAAAGGAAAAAGAGCTTTTGTTCAGCTAACAGAAAGACCAAGATAACAAAAGCCAAAATCATTTTTCCCATTGTCAGCACTCAACTAAATGCTTTTATGTTTGATAGACTCAATGAATCCAGATTACTGTCTTTTTCAGTCACTGTTTCCTATAGTGAGTAAAGAGCATGTGACCTCTTCCTTTTCCCCCTAATATCCTCTGTCAGTGAAGAAGTATCTTCTGAGTGCTCACTTCAATGCACGTATACTGAAATTGCAATGATAGAGAGATGATCATGGCCACTCCGCAAAGATCACATGCAAGTTCCTGAAGAGTGACATATTTTTTAAAAAGACATGAAAACGGACCCAAATTAAGGAGAACTGTATCGTGTTTATGAAAGAAAGGAAGAGATGGAGTAAAACAATTTTAATTCTACTCCAACTAATGAAAAAAATAATGCAAATCCAATAGAAATCTCAATGGATTTTTAGTACAACTTAATTCTAAAATTTCAATAAAAAAGCAAATGGCCAAGAATAGCTAACAAAATTTTGGAGCTGGAGAATATAGTGTGGGAAAAAGAAAAGAAAAAAGAGTAGGGTATGGAAAGGGAGTTTTCAGTCTACAAGAGCTTAAGACTTAATATGTAGTCAGTTATGAAAACAGTAGAACAATAGCTATAGCTCCGTTAAACATGATCATAAGCGATTTTGATTTTATTTGTGCTCTTTTGACTTTTTGCACCAAATACGTAGTAGTTTCTTGATGAAAAAGAAGCCAAAAAAAAACCCCTAATGCTTTGAAAAAAGGGAAATATCTACTAAAAGGTTTTAAAAAGTCAGAATGATCCTCACATATTTATTTTATATCCTTATTCCCTGAAAATAGATCTGTATGTAGTCACCACAGAATAGTTTTCACATCCAGCAATAAGGGGTCACTGGTTGCTGGCTTACACTGAAAACTAATCATATAATGTGGGGCTGGTCATTTAAGCTCTCTCAGTGTTTCAGCCTACCAAATGGTGGTATTAATAGCTTCCCAGCTCACCTGGGAGGATTTGTCATCGGAATTGTACAAGATAATATGTGAATGTCCTTAACGAAGTATCGAAACCTATACAAATGCATACTGCTGCCTGGTCCATATTTGACACGGAGCAGTTACAGATTTTAGAGTTTTGTAGCAACCCATGGCTCAATTACTGAAGCCATTGGTGCTTGACAGGTAAAGAGAGCTGGTTGGGAACGCCTCCTTTATGTCACCTCCCCATTCCCCGTGGCCCATCTCCTTCCACACTGTGTCCCATGTATTCAATGACTACATTTATTGAGTGCCGATAGGCACCAGGGCCCAGAGTCACGATGGTGAAAGAGACACTATCCCTGTGCTCATGAAGCTTACAGATCAGCAGAAGATTTGTGGACAAGAGGACATTTCAAAACGGGGTGACAAATGCTGTGACGTGGTAAGTCCAGGGTGCCCTGAGCTCCTGTTGAGCCACTACCAAGAGCCACAGCCAAGGTTCCGATGGTCACAGAATGGTTCCTTAGCCACGTAACAGTTAAAATGATGAAAAGGGTGAAGCGCCGTGAAGGGGTCCTGGAGATGAGGGAAGAGGGAGGGAAGCGTGTTTCAGCCACAGGGTAGCGCATTCTATCTGCCTCCAGAGAGCAAGGAAAAGCAATGGAACTGCTTCGGGGTTAAAAACAAAACAAAACAAAACAAAAAACCACCCTCGATGATTTTGAAAATCTATTTCCTAATGTTGCCCAGGCCAAGTTCAGCATGGGCTCAGCGTGACATGTTTCGGGCTAAGTTTTAGGATGACCCCTCCTCTGCCTCCAGCCTCCGGCCACTCCCTGTGCTGGCCTTTCCCTCTCTACTGCCTGGCCTTTCCTTTTGAAAAGGTAGCACTCTGAAGAGGTGGAAAGAGCCTTTTTTCTTTTGAAGCAGAAGTATTATTAACAGAGAAGGAAAAGTCTCCCATGAGCTGTAGCAAAATCCTGCAGATTGGTTTATGAATCAATGTAGCTTAGACTAAAGCAACCTAATTTCCTGAAAGCCACTCTGTGGCTTTAGGCTTCCAAAGGGGCATAACGCTTGTATGATATTTACTCTTAGTTAAAATTAAATGGAAATGGCAAAAAAAACAAACAAACAAACAAAAAACAACCCACCAAAAACCCTGAAGAGGAATTCTTCTGGGAGATCATATCATTAAAGAAAAAAAAAATAAAGCCTACAAAGCAATATGGAAAAAAAAACACATATATTACATTATTTCATTAAAGAAGGTTTGGCATTAGACACATCAAAGTGTTAAATTATTAACTACTTCTGAGTAACTGGGTTTCATGGGACTTTTATACCTTTTTTATTGTGAAATATAACACTCATTGGGGAAAGTGCATGATCTATAAAAGCTTATTTTGATAAATTCTTGTAAAGTGAACACTTACATGACGGCTACTCAGGTTAAGAAATAGAACGTGGCCAGGAAGCTCTCTCTCCATCTCTTTCCAATCTCAACCCACCCTTCCCCCAAGAGGTCACTGTTGTCCTTAGGTTTATTATAATCTCTCTCTCTCTCTCTCTTTTTTTTTTTTTTTTGGTCTTTTCTTTAGTTTTACCACCTAAGTATATATCACTAAATACTATAAATATGCAAAGTTAACTATATCTTTTACTGTTTGAACTTTAGATACATGGGAGAATATAATTCACGCCCCCGCCCCCCGCCAGCTTCTATCTCTTAACATTAAGTTTCTCAATTTTATCCATGCTGCTGACAGTATTGTGGTTCATCTATTTTCAAGGCTACTTGATATTCCAAGGTTGGATATACACACTTTATTTGGTCACTCTACTGTTGATGGACAGTTTGGCTTGTTTTCAGTTTGGGGCTATTGTGAATAGGAAGTTGCCATCTGGTACTCACATGCACGTATTACTATTGGGTACATACCCGGGGGTGGGAAATCTGGGTCACCAGATATGCCTATCATTAACTTTCATAGATACTGCCGAACAGTTAACCAAGAACAGCAGTGGCAAGCAATTTCCTGTAGCAGTGCGGGAGAGTTCCCGCTGCCCTGCCCTCAAGTTTTATGTAAGTTTTTCCTCTAGCTCATGTGAATTTTCTATCCCCTCTATAATAAATATCGATATATGTTTAATTAGGCAAAATGGTTGAATTAGGCAAAATACTGTTCTAATATTTCTTAAAACTACTCTTCCCAATGAGGGCGTTATTTATAAAGTCTTAAATGGGTGCAAATCACCCAAAGACAAAGCACACAGATCACAACTATAGAGCTTAATGTATTGTCACACAGTGTCTGTATCCACCACTCAGGTCAAGGGACAGAACTTTCTGGCAGTCAGGAAGCCAGCCACCTTCATGCCTCTTTCTGATCACAATCCTTTCCTCCTCTTCAAGGGTAAACCATCATACTTAGTCCTAAGATGATAGATGAGTTTTGTGTGTGTGTTTAATTTTTTGTATGTTTTTATTTTAGTTTTGAGAGACAGAGTGCAGACGGGGGAGGGGCATAGAGAGGGAGAGACACAGACTCTGAAGCATCTCCAGGCTCTTAGCTGTCAGCACAGAGCCTGATGTGGGGCTCGAAGGCACAGAGTGTGAGATCATGACCTGAGCCAAAGTCGGACGCTGAAACGACTGAGCCACCCAAGCGCCCCTGAGTTCTGTCTGGTTTTAACCATTGTACAAATGGAACAATCCGGTATATGTTATTTTGTGTCTAGCCTCTTTTTTTCCCTCATCACTGTGAAATTCATCCATTTGTTATGTATAAGAGTAACTTTGTTCATTTTTTTTCCCTTTTTCACCACAAGAAAGAGATATTGACCTCAAGGAGCTGATCTGTTCAACACTTTTTCAACTTGTGGAATGTACCAACCAACGGCACCCATGGATTACAATACTTTATGGCCATTTGTATTTTTGTTGTTTCCACAAAAATAATAAGCTTTGGGTTTAGAAAGATTACAGGGAGGATGAGTGTGATACCTGTGAGTACCCTCTGATCTCTGTAATAATGACTCTGCTTGGAATCGTCTCTCTGTGATAATGGATGTGTTCTCTTTTCCCTTCTTGTCCGCGTAAAATGCAAAACTGTATTACATCTCCAGGCTGAACACTTTTATGTAAAATAGAGCTGCCACAGGATTTTGCTGGAAAGTTGATTTATATCCGAGGATCATGAGAGTCCAAGGATGAAACTGGCATGTGGCCATAGGGAAAGCCCTTGACCCAGAAGCAGGGACAACTTCAAAGCTGTGTTGGTACGTACATAATGGAACATGGCACTTTTCTAGGGGGGGGGGGGAATCCTAAAACTGCCCTCCGAAAGGAAAGGTAAAATCAATAGTTTATATTTTTTTACTCTTTCATATTAGCAATGCTAAACCCTTTTACAAAAACAATTGCTTAAATCTAGCTTCCACAGCCACTTTCTTCCTTTCTTTTTTCCTTTCTCTCTTCCTTCCTTCCCTTCCTCCCTCCCTCCTTCCTTCCTTCCTCTTTCTTTCTTCCCTTCTTTTTTCTTTCTTTCTTTCTTTCTTTCTTTCTTTCTTTCTTTCTTTCTTTCTTTCTTTCTTTCTCTCTTTCTCTCTTTCTCTCTTTCTCTTTCTTTCATTCTCTTTCTCTCTTTCTCTCTTTCTCTCTTTTTCTTTCTTTCTTTCTTTCTTTCTTTCTTTCTTTCTTTCTTTCTTTCTTTCTTTCTTTCCTTCTTTTGTTTTTTTTCTTTTTTTTCTTCCCATACTTTTTTTCTTTCTTTCTTTCTTTCAGAGCAAAGTGTCAGCTGAGAGCTTGAACTCTTAAAATGGGAACTTGATAGGAATCTATGTTTTCAAAGTAGCCAAACAGGTTCTCTGATAGTAGCTCTCTGAAATGCTGTATGTGGATGCATAGTAAGTGTAATTTTTCTTTTTTTTTTTCTTTAGACCTTGAGATGTAATTATTGCAGCTTCAGATGTCCCTAGTGATATTAACTAGATAATCAAATTTGGATCACAGGAATGAAACCACCTAACCTAACATGTGCCTTCATTTCTGCTCTCTTCAAAACAATTCACTGAAGATAACTCTGCCCTGCCCCACCTGCAAATCTGTCAGTAGACCATGGACATAGCCAGCAAATTTAGCAAGAATGCTCAAAATGGTCAAATTGATTCTCAAAACAAAGAATACTATGTTTGAACACAACAGATAAAACATTTCTCCACCACAAAAATAGAACAAAACATTGCTGAAATCATGTGCAAAAAATGACACATCAAGAATGCTGAATTTGGGAGACCTTATTGCCAACCCAGATAT